TCAATACATAATAAGCAGAAAGCTTACAAAACTTAAAGCTGCTTTTAAGGTGAAGGGTAAGGACAGTGGAGAGGTTTCTATGAAATCTAAGGAAACGAGGGAAGCATTTGAATCTTGTCAAAGGCCACTGGACCTAAATCCATCAGATGTTGTAAAACGACTGGAAGTAAAACAATTATTAGTTGCTTGTTCAAAAGCTGCTGCAAATAAGGAATGTTTTTTTCAAGCAGAAATCTAAGATCCTTTGGCTTAAAGAGAGGGACCAAAACAATTCTGTTTTATTTACAGCAATGACTAATAGAAAGAATAGAAACAAAATTTTAAACCTTGTAGACTCACAAGGTAGAGTAATCGAAGGAAGTGTAAATGTGAAAGCTGAACAGGTTACTTAATGAGATTGCTAGGGGACAATTCAGTTATTATAGGCTCTGAGACAAGGAAGAGCATGTTGAACTCAATGCAACTAAAGAAAAATCTCTGGCTAGAAACCTACAGATTTGCCTAGAGATGTTGAACCTGAAGAAATTAAGGAAATGTTATTCTCCGTCAATGACATGAAATCTGCTGATATTGATGGTCTTAACTCATAATTTTTCAAGAAAGTGTGACCTATGATGGGAGGATAATTCATTGCAACAGTCAAGGAATTCTTCAGAAGTGGCAGTCTTCTTAAAGAGCTAAATGCTACCATCATTGCTTTAGTCCCTAAGGTTCCCAACCCTTCCTCCTTGGGTGACTATAGACACATTTCTTGCTGCATTAATGCTATTTATAAGGTCATGTCTAAAATCTTGGCTAGTAGAATTAAAATGATTTTACATGATATCATAAGTTCCAACCAATTTGCCTTCATTCTTGGAAGGGAGATTATAGATAATATCCTTTTATACCAAGTAATTGTAAGAGACAACCATAAGCATTTTCTGTTTTTCTTCTGGCATGTGCTTTGGGGGTGGGGGATCTTCTTTTTCTTGTTTTAAGAAGATCTTCCATCCCTTTTGGGTTTAACATGTGTACATTTTCCCTTTCTTAATGATATTATCTTACTTACCGAAAAAAAAAAAAAAGACAACCATAAGCATAATGGCTCTGCTAGATGTGCTCTTAAAGTGGACATCAATAAGGCTTATGACACTGTTGATTGGAGTATTTTAATGGAGACTTTGGAAGCTATTGGTGTTCCAGATACGATGGGAAAGTGAATGAAGCAGTGCATAACTACTCGCAGATTTTTTGCCAATGTGAATGGGGAACTAGTTGGGTTCTTCCTAAGTTCAAGTGGCCATAGGCAAGGGATCCTCCCTCCTCTTGCTTATTTGTCAAAGCTATAGAGGTACTCATTCCAACTATCAACCAACAACTCACTTTAAACCCAAGGTTCAATTTCCATTGGAGATGCAAGAAGCTCAATTTAACACACCTTACTTTTCCTGAAGACCTTATGTTGTTTAGTTATGGCGACTTGGTTTTTGTTGGTATATTAAAGGATGCTTTGGAAAAATTCCTAAGATTATCTTGGGTACAAGTTAACCTTTCTAAAAGCAATGTATTCATCTCTACTAGCCCTGATTAAGATAGTGGTCTAATTAATTACCAACCTCCTAGGGATTTCTAGAAGGCACTCTCCCTGTCAGGTACTTAGGTGTTCCTCTGAAAACTACAAGACTTAAATCCCAACATTGTGACCTTAAATTAGAGAGGATGGAGTCTAGAGAGATGAGTTGGACCACAGATTTTTATACTTTGCAGTGAACAGTGACTTCAACTTATCTAATATGTTTTAATTAGTATTCAAGCCTTTTGGGCTTCAACTTGTTCCTTCCTCAACAAATTATTGAAAAAGTTGAAAGCATATTGAGATCTTTTCTATGAAGTGGTAGAGATGAAATCCACTGGTTCAAAAGTATATTTAGGGGATGTTTGCAAGCCAAAAGTTAAGGGTAGTCTAGGAATAAGAAAACTCAGGGATATTAATCTGCTTTCATGATGAAACACCTCTAGCGTTTATTGATAAGGAAGGCTTATGGACTAGATGGATTCATGCTTATTACCTCAAAGGAAGGAGCATTTGAGAAGTAAACTCTCCCCATAAATGTTCTAGGACTTGGCTCCATATATTGAAATCGAGAACTTATGCTAGATCCTCCATTGTGCATATTATAGGAAATGTGACGGACGCTAGCCTTTGGCAAGACTCTTGGCACCCTAGAGGACCCTTATTGATGACATGGAGCAACAATATTATTGGGAATTCTTGCCTTCCTAATAGCGCAAAGGTTTGCATTGTCTACAATGATCATTTGTTATGGCCTTCTACTAAATCTCCAAAATTAAGGGAAATAGCTCGAACTATGCCCTCTTACCTTCCAAATCAGAATGGGCAAGACTTGGTGAAAATGGTTGCAATCCCCTCGTGGCATGTTCTCTTCTTTTTCAGGTTGGAACCAGGTGGGGTACAACATCCTAGTGTGCATTGGCATCACTTGATCTGATACAGTCAAGGCATCACAAGAATGAGTTTTATCCTATGGTTGGCCATTAGATAGATGCTATTCACCAAGGACAGAAGTAAGGTTTATGCTGGCGAATTTGGAATTGGATGTTGCCTTTGCAATCAAGATTCAAAATCTCATCAACATCTATACTTAAATTTTCACACTCCTCCTATATATGGAGCCAACTGATGCAACTGTGTTGGGAACAATGGCAAACTAGTCCTTGGTAACTAGTGCTTGATCATGTGGTCCAGGCTTGGAAGGGCAGACACAACTAGAGGTGGCAAATTGGGGGGGTGGGGGTTGGTTATGGGCCGGATTAAATTGGGTTGGGTTATTTAATCCATTTTTCACTCATGTATTAAATGGATTATAATGATTTGGGTTAAAATTATTATCCTAGTACACCAAAACACACATTATCACACTAAAATACAAACATACACACAATGATACACTAATACACCAAAAATTCACACACACACTAATACACCAAAAATATACACATATATACTAACATACAAAAAATAAAAATACATTTAATAAAAAACTAAAATATACACATATAATAGGTCGGGTCGATTGTGGACCATGGGTTATGGCGTGATGCGTGGGTCATGGGGCAACCCATGCATGGGTTGTATGTGGGTCGACCCATGGGTTGGGTTGGGTTGTGGGTCGTGGTTGGGGGTGCATTATAGTGTGTTTTTGGGATGTGTGAGTTTTGATGTATTTTTTGATGTATTAATGTGTGTGTATTTTTATATATTAATATATTTATTTGATTTTATTACTTATGTTGTTTAATAGAAAGATAACATAAGACAAACAACAGTAAGCGGGTCAAATACAAACTAAGGTATAATAAGATACAATTTAGACACAATATTAATTAGATATGTTACCATTCATTGTCAATTTGAGTCGCCACCAGTTTGGTCAGTACGGAGTTGCTTTTCTCAAGGACTAATTCCAGGTCAAAAGAGTGTTTTTTGGATCCAATGGGTCAAAAGAGTTTGCGGACGACAAGTATAGTCAACTTTTTCAAGGCTATCCCTCTTTTTGGGTTACAACCGTAGAAAATATTGGACATAACGATAACACTATTATGACCGTTATACCGAATATTTACTCATAAATCCGAGTGCCCCTTTCGGTCCAACTTGCGCCAGTAAAACAATTACTTCAAAAAACCACTTATTATGTGAACAATGTTTCTCTCTACAAAGAATTCCATCAGGTACTTATGGACCTGACAATTATAACACAAAATTTTTATGGAATAACTTGTAAATTATAACGATTAGTAAATTACAATTTGATAGTGAACTGAGTTAGGATCTGGAGATAATAACCCGTGAAATCTTCTCATTCAAAATGTCCTAACAAGTTATTTGCAACCCTTTTTCGTCTATTTATCGTTAAACTAAAGTTACTCGTGCAATACACTGGAAATGTATATATTTCTCTTTTATTGTAGTTAGATGTAAGCGTGTGGTTAAATTATAAGTAGGTTTACTATGATTAGGAAGTTAAAATATAAATGATAATAGTAATTTTTTGAAATAGAAGAATTCATTTCATAATTGTTTTGAAGGAGGTTGGAAATTCCATCAGACCACTTCATTTAGCAACTGGCACGAAAATTCCCGTTTCAGAAGAATGAAAAAAGTATTATAAATAAATCGTGAGTAGTGACCCCATTGGTCAAGTATTCTACACTTTTCTTAAGTTTTGAATCATAAACAAACTGACTAGCTATATTCGATACGCATCTAACCGTACATGACAACACATATATTTTATATATGATACGCATCTAACGATATGAAGCCAATTATATGTGACTGTACACTTTATACACAATATGAACTAAAAACTACACCAACCTAGTAAAAAAAAACAATAAATAGCTCGGGTATAAATTGATTAAATTTTAACACAAAACGATATAAATTTCATATACAACAATTCATTGGTAATTTGAGTCACCATGAGTATGACCGATGTGGAGTTCCGTTTGTCAAGGACAAAGAATTTAACGAAGAAAACTTTAGTCAAGAATGGTTGCCCCTCTATCACGGGCTAAATTCGGGTGCCCCCTTCGCCGTAGCTTGCTCCAGTCAAACAATTACTTAAGAAAGCCAATTATTAACACAGGAATTGTGTGGAATAACTTTTAAATTAAGGATCGGGTAAATTACGATTCAAATATGATAATTGAATTTGCTCTGGAGATAATACCTTTGAAATCTTCTCTTTTACTATAGTTAAATATAAGTAATCGATTAAAATATAAATAAATAGTTTTACCATGATTAAAAAGTTAAAATATGAGAATTAGGCATAAAACAGGTTTGCATGTATGCTATAGTTGCTTATTTTGAATTCATTACAATTATAATGGTATAGTTATAGATAACCATACAAAATCATATTGTAGCATGTAAGGCTTTTACAAAAATGGACGAATAATTAAACCTTCGTTGTTGGGGTTTCAGTCTGTTAATTCTTCTTCCTGCAAAGTTGTACCAGCTCCTCCACCACCCCATCTGTCTCTTCCTCTCCTTTCAGTCTTATTTTCTCACTTAGTTCCCTTGCTTTCCTCCTCACAACCTCCCCACTATTGTCCACTACTACCTTTCTTATCACTTTTGCAATCTCTTCCCTGTGAAGCCTTCCAATTCCGTCCCTCACAACCTCCATACTCACACCAACCTCCTCCACCATTCTAGCATTCACTGGCTGGTCAATATGCATGGGCATGGCTATTATTGGAACACCAAACTTCATGCTTTCCATGATAGAATTCCATCCACAGTGACTCACGAACCCACCAGTGCTCGGATGACCCAGGATTTTCGCCTGTGGAGCCCATCCCTCTAAAATTCTTCCTCTTTCTCCAACCCTCTCAAGAAATCCTTCTGGTACTGCCTCTTCTATCTTAATTTTCTCCCCCACAGGGAACCTAACCACCCATATGAAATTCACATTGCTAAGCTCTAGCCCATGAGCTACCTCTTTGATCTCTTCCTTAGACAGAAAATATTCACTGCCAAAGGAAACAAAGATGGCTGAAGCTTCATCCTTTTTGTCTAGCCATTTTATAATCTCCCCATGCTCATCGTTGACAGCATCTTGGACAAGTGGACCCACAGGAACTATCTTCTTTTGAACTAAAACAGACAGATAATTAATATATTTTTCCTCAATTTCTTTGAAAGTTTTAACCAAAACGATATCACATGATCGTTCCATAGCTTCAAGGAAACGATCCTCTTCTTTGACATCATTTACAGAAGAGTGTAGCGCTTCACGGAACTTATTGCCTTCGTGCTCATGAAGATATATTTCTGGGAAAGGGAATTCTTTGCCTGACTGCTTGAAAATGTGAAGGCCGAAAGAAACAAAAGCTGCTCCAAGAGTGAGAAACTGAACAGCCGGGATATTGTGAGAGGAAGCTACGGCTGCTGCCCATGGCTGATTGAAGTCATATATCAGCAAGTCTGGTTTTAGGGTCTTGACGATGTAGTCAAAGCTGTGGCTTGCCATCTCAAAAGCAGTTTTGAGAGTGGACATGAGATAGGGTGGGAGGCCATTGGTTGTGTGGTAATGAGCAGGGAGCTCAGGCAAGCAAGGAAGATGGAGTTCTACAATTTGAATCGAACGAGAGTACTTCTCAGTGATTCTTTCCTTGATGGAAGCAAGGTTGATAGGCGTGGAACACAAATATATATGGAAATTTCTGTTTGTGAGGTTTTTGGCTAGCTCTAGGAAGGGAGAGATGTGACCATGGGCCAACCAAGGTAGCATTAGTACTTTGATAGTGCTCTGTCTAGTATCCATGAATCTCTCTCTCTCTCTCTCTCTCTCTCTCTCTGAGAAGAAACAAAGGTGATCTGCCGTATACATACGCATGGAAGTATATAAAGGGACATAAAACTGATGGGCCGTGATGTAAGAGTTGAGGTCAAGAGGGAAGAGTTTGGGTGGGGGAGAGAGGCTTTGTTTGAATAATTCGTATTGAATTTTTCTTCTATTATATTTTTCTTTGGCACATCAACTATTGATGAAAACAATAAGTTTTGCGCATTACCTGACGTAAGATATTTTCTATATCCTTCAAATCTGAAAGATACGTCGTACTTTTAAAATAGAAATTTTGTGATCATCTAATTTGAATTTAATTGATTATATATGTTCAAAATTTATGGTGTAACTATTAGTACAAAGACACCAAACCCTGTGGGCTGGGCTAGAGCAACTCTTCCACCTTTGAAGTTGTCCTCTTGTGTCTTGTAAAATAAGAAGAGTAAATCCTATTGTTTATTTGCAGAAATTAGCTAACATAGTTTTGACCATACGTAATTGGTCCAAAAGAACAAAATTTATAGCAACTCAAATCAGAACACAACTTCTAGAAACTAAGAAGAAAGTTCACGATTTAAAATTCCATTATTGATTGGTCAATATGAATTAATTATTTAAGTGGCGGACCAATTGTAATTACAGGTGACTGTAAACTATTCACTGTTTTTTTTTTTTTCTGTGAGCTATTTTAGTTTATGTATGCATAGATCATTTTGTTCTCTTTCCCATTCGTTTTTTTACAAGAAAAACATTGGATATCTATATCTATTAGTTGATGCACGCATGTGCATTTGTATGTGAATCATTATGAGATGTAATTAAGTCGGTGTTTCAAAGATTGAGCATAGAATATCATCCTTTATCACACCTTTGCACATTTTCCATATCTTGTTTGAATCAATTAACATTGGCTTAATTCAAATTAATTATTTGGATACAAATTTGGCGCATTCAAATTTTGGACTCATTATATATTCTTCAAGGGATATTGTGAGTCTGGAGAATATTTATGAATATCTAACATTAAACATGAAAACACACTCAGAATTCCAAAGCTACGATTACTCTTGTACCACGCCGAGATATCATAAACACAGTGACTTAGATAGCTCCACCATCAAATCCAGCTATTAAA